GGCGGCCGGGACCGTTGGGGGCGGTGTGTGTGGCCTTATGACACACTTCCGGTGATGTCAGGGGGTGTGGCCTTATGACACACTTCTGGTGATGTCAGGGGGTGTGGCATATGCTAATGAGTTATGCTAATGAGTTCCCCTAGCTCTTTTTCTACGAAACGTTTGCATGCAGAAGGCACTGGGCTAAGTTCCTGGCATCCCCAGTGAAAGAGTCTGATAGCAGGTGTTGGGGAAGACGTCCTTCCCAGAGAGCTGCTGCTCATCAGAACAGATGATATTCAGCCAGGTGGACTGATTGATGCTCTGATTTGGCATGATTTTTTTCTTCTAACACAGCATTTGGCATTTAAAGGTAAAGGTAAAGGTTTCCCTTGCTCGAAAGCCAGTCGAGTCCGACTCCAGGGTTGCGGTGCTCATCTCCGTTTCAAAGCCGAAGAGCCAGCGCTGTCCGAAGGCGTTTCCGTGGTCATGGGGCCGGCATGACTAAACACCAAGGCGCACGGAACGCTGTTAACTTCCCACCGAAGTGGTACCTATTTATCTACTTGCAATTTCTTGCTTTCGAACTGCTAGGTTGGCAGGAGACAGGAGCTCACCCTGTCTTGCGGCAACCCGGGTCTCGAACTGCTGAACTACCGACCTTCCACAGCCTGCAGTTCATCGTCTTAACCACTTGAACCACCGCAGCTCCATTTGCATTTGCATTTGCATTTACAGGGCATTAAAAAGAGAAACCAAGCTGTGGTTCTAACCCATGCAGCTGTCAATCGCCGTGTGGAAATGAGTGGGCAGAGTATGTTTAAGACTCAGAAACAATAAGGGGGTGACACAAGGCTTCCTTTTGCCGGGAGGCAGCTCTAATTCTTCATCTCTGCTTCCTGCCTCTGTTCAGCCGCTTGAGTATGAAATGAACTCTACTCAAAGAGGCTTGATTCCTCTCCCCCCCCCCTTTACCAATCTTGGAGCACAGGAAATAAGCCCCCGATAATAAGCCCGTTCAAACGTCAAAGAGATTAAGCTTTGCATAATGCCGGTGCTGCCTCCGTTGCCCCTGCAGCCCCCGCGTTGAACTTGAAGCTGCCAGCCTCAGATCAAACCACTGACTCTTTTTTCATTTTTTTTGCTTGTGTTTCAGGCATCCAGATAAAAACAAGGACCCTGGAGCAGAAGATAAGTTCATACAAATCAGCAAGGCCTACGAGGTATTAAACGCTGGGGCGGGTGAGGGGAATTCTGTTTTAATGAGAAATCAGCAGGAGTCCACGGGCACCTCGAAGGCTACCAGAGTTCTATTCCAGTGTCAGCTTCTGTGGACGAAAGCCAACTTCTAAAGATGCAGCACAGCAGGTTTTTCTTTAGGCAGATCTTTTATGTAGGAAGTGTGGGGAAAATGGACAGCGGGGCCACAGGACCTCGAAAAGTACAGAGTAAAGCATGATTCTGAAAAATTCACGTTTGCTTAAGGAAAACATGGAGGCCGTTCACCAATTTTGCTAAGTCAGTTAACTCCTGTAATCGCCGGGGAGTGGCAGGGGATACGGTCATAACCCAGCTGGTCTCGCAGGCTCCAAGTCCAAGTCCAGGTCATGCAGGCAGGAGCAGGTCAAAGGAAAGTTCACAGCATAGTCCAGACAGTCCAAGGTCAGTTGGTACAGTCAGAGTCCAAAAGCAGAGTCAAGCCAGTCCAAGAGTCACAGGAGTAGAGCAGAGTCAGGAGTTGTGGTTGCAGGATTCACTGTGAGGTGATGTGTTGCTTCTACAAGTTGGCAACAGCTCACCCCCAGCTTTAGGTAGCTTTCCCCTGATTAGTCTTATCTGCAGCTGGCAAGTTAGCAGGGCTCCAGGAATGACTCATCTTGTAGCTGTCGACGGGCCATTAATCTTTTACTCCATCTGCATTCTTCCAATTGGCTTCTGATCTTAGCCCTTCTTCTTTCTATGGGGGGGGGGATCTGGGGGAGTCGTGAGTGCCTCCGTAGGTACCTGCTCCCTGACTTCAGCCGGCTCGGTATTTGACTGGAGTCCCTGAGTGTCCTCTACTCTGAAGTCATCTTTTGCCACGCTGGACTCAGGCTCGACTTCTGAGGAGTCCTCACTTTCACTGGGCTCCAGTTGCCAATCAGACTGTCAGGCTGCAAGTCAGACTGGTCCTCACTCGGGCTGGGCTCCAGCAGCAGGTCAGAGTCTGGCTGCACCTCAGACTGAGGCTGGTCCATGACAGACATTTAAACATCTGTGTGTGTTACGTGCTGTCGAGTCACTTCTGACTTATGGCGACCCTATGAAATAATTTCCACCATTAATAGCGGTGGGTGTTACGTTGACTTTGTCAGGTAGAGATGCCAGTTTCCAGGTAGGACCAGGGGATTCCCTGGAATGACAGTTCATCTCCAGATGACAGAGATCAGTTCCCCTGGAGAAAATGGATGCTTTGGGGGCTTCCGGTGGGTGGATCGGCGATGGCGGTTGCACTCGAAGCTCGAGGAGGCGGCTAGCACACATTCGGCTTGGAGGGGTGCCACCTCAAGTGGCACTCCCATGGAACCCTTGCGGTGGGTTCCAAGCCAGAGGGCTTTTGAGGGTTAGCCTCTTTGACAGCTCGAAGCCATGGAATAGAGGCTTCCCTCCGCCCTGATGGTCCAGCCGATGGTCCAGCCTATGTGTGTAAGCCAATCTGACCGGGACAAGTGCAGGAGATCAAGCGGAATAGTGATGGAAGAGAGCGAGGTCAGAAGTGACCAACAATGAACATGAGTGAGAGATAAACGAACTGTTTTTGTAAAGTGAAGCCCCATCCCCCACCCCCCGCGGAGAAAGCGGAGTGCAGGGAGGGACGGCTCCTGAGCAATTGAATAGATCAAAGAAGTGAGGGGGGAGAGGGGAGAGAAACAGC